GAAAAGAAAATGGGAACTACTAAAAAGTTTTTTATAAGGGTAATATAGGGTTTATACAGCAGCACGAAGGTTCGAGGAAATCGGATGAAGTAACGTCCTGAGCTTGGAGTCGATATCGCCCCCCTTGTTGTCCATCCAGGACTTGGGGAAGTTCCGCATTATCAGCCTTTCGAGCGGCTCTGTCTCTACCAAAAAATCTTTTGCAAACACTTCGAAGGCTTGAAATTTCCTAGCCAGGAAACGACGCGGACTCCATGCCCGCGGGGACGGCGCCGTTTGAGGTGGACATGACCTCAAACCTGCCACAGGGCCTACCCTTAACCCCAGACCCTCAATACTAGTTTCCATGTCTTTTCCATTATCCCAACATATACCCATATAACCCCAACAGATAACCTCAATATATATATATATACATATCCTATATACACCCTGCCGCCCTAAAAGCTTCTTCAAACTACGTCCCTGAAGGACCCTACCTGCCAGCGGATCAGGACGCCATGGGAATGCAACTAAAATCAAGGGCTCAGGTCTTCGAGCTGAAGCTATAACCTGAATATTATAGTAGCACTAAACCCCAATATTGTAGTAGCACTAGACCCCCAATATTATAAAGTTACTGCAACCATGCCAGCAAGGCAGGCTTGTCTGCAACTGGCTTGGGAAACATGGGTAGGGCTCAGTCCGATATTATATTGGTAGAAATGGTACGAGGTGACATCCACATGATGTTTAATCTACTGGCTTCGCACTTTCCGGTCTAGCAGATTGAGCTGCAGTGCTTGCAATACGAACATGACTGACTTTCTGCCTGGATACCTAAACCTACGCTGCGGCGACGCATGGATCTCACAAGGGGCTTCCAGCACTTCTTGATTGCATGTGGATGCCGATCCCCAAGCTCTACTAAAAGAAGATTTGCAATGCGCAAAAGTCATGGCGAGGTCCTCAAAGCATGGCAGCCAGCTTGTACAAGTTTGCCCATGCCACGAGCTCTGAGGCTGCATTGACGACACAAAGCCGTGTTTGGCTCTGCCAAATTCGACTGTTGCATCGCCTAAAGGCTTTCTAAACAAGTAGCGGCTTGAGGCAAAATACCTTTGCGTGTTTCTTGGCGGTTGGGTCTACTGCGTGCATGCCTGGCCACATCCGCACCGGGCGTCGCAGGACCCTAGAATGATCTTTGCCGAAGGACGGGTCCTTCGACCTCGTCTCGATATCCCGGATTTGATCCGAATCGGGCTCCTGGGTTTCTGAGCAAGTGGTTCCACGATGACATGGGCAAACCGCTGTGCAAAAATGGTAAACCCACACGTCAAATCAATGGCACGCTCAGGATCTGACTTCGATCGTCTGACACCTCGATGCTTTGCTGTTCAAACTCTAGGCCCTCCGTGCCTGTGGATCTAAGGTCATGTACAAGTAGGGTGACACAAAAGGTTCATAAAACTTGCTTACAGTAGGATCGGCACGAGGATTCGCCAGTCTATTGATGCGTCGACGTTGGAGAAGGCAATCTTCATCACCTGCACAATGAACCAAAAAATATTCTCCTGTGCAGTGCTTGATTTGCACCATGCTTTCGTCAAACTCCGCAAGCCAGCGACATCAAAAATGCAGCATAGCAGTGTAGCACTGGGGTTTCGCGGAGATAAATCATCTGGGTATATTGGGAGTATATTGGGATAATGGAAAATAAAATGGAACCTACTCTAGTTGGTTTAGGGTTTAGGTGCAGCCAAGAGCTGCGGAGAAGGAGCATCTGTGGGATCACGTGCCAAGTGCAGAAAAGTTTAGGGTTCAGGGTTTAGGGATTCAAAGCAATGGCCTTGCGCATCCATTCATCATGCTCCGTCGATTCATTGAGCGATGGTAACTCCTCGAAAATACCACGCCTCGGTAGCTGCAGCCTTATATACCCTAAGACCCTAACCTACTATAATAGTTTCCATGTTCTTTTCCATTATCCCAATGTTACACCATATTTTAACCGTAGTATAACCCCTATGTAATCCTATTTCAGGTAAACTTCTTTCGGACTTCAGTGCGGGGCTTCTTGCATTCGGCGTAGGGGTCCACAGCAGGCACGGAAATCGGAACTTGCGCCTGTGGAGCTACCAGAAACTGCAACCAAACATGGGTGGTTGTTAAAATTATGGTCCCTTTTTGGATGCCTATTATAATACGGCACCTAATATTTGGGTACCCAAAAAGGGACCATAATTTCGATAACCACCCACACAGGGCTTGTTTGTAAAGGCCTCTGGGCGATCCTTCTTGGTAGGAGTACTGCGCAGATCACAACTGGTCATGAGGAGAGGCCAAGGAATTATGCCTAGAATACTTGAGCTACAGTCTAAACTCCTAGCATCCCAATTAGTAGCCCCTATATCAGTCCCCTTTATAATACCCTATATAACCCTCCTTTTCTGAGTGTCGACTACAGCTGATTGGGCAAAGCTTTTGCCAGGGAGGTGCAAGCGTGCGGAAATTCTGCAGACTATTGTAGCACTCCTGTGAGATCTTGGCCGTGTCGGGCCATCCTTTCCAGAGCAGTCCTGCAACGACAAGGCTTTCCCGGTGTGGATTGGAGTTAGTCCTGGTTGCTTTACACTGCCACAGCTCACCACAGAGCAACATTCCGCCTACCCAAGCTATGGTTCATTGCCAGCGCATTCAAACAAAAAGAAAACTGGAAAGAACTAATACATCAAATCTCGCATCAGCTACTCCTTGACACCTTTAAAGTCGAGTTGAAAAAGCGACTGCCCTTATTGCGCTTCTAGGTTCCAAAATTGGCAGCAGAGCCTCATCTTGCTAATCGTTTGCCTTGCAGCAATACGAAATTCTGCGGTGCAGACTACGGAGAATCACGGTTGTTCCTCCGAGTCAAAAGAGCCATGTCTACTTCTGACTGGAATGCTGGAAAACTGCACACTGGGCAGAGCCCAACCCCAAAGCAGTTCAATGGCAAAGTCCAAGGCGATTGAAAGACAAACCCCAACGCTAGCATCCAACACAAAATCAGCACAAAGTTAACTTGATTTTCTGAAGGTACCTGGCTCTTCTCTGCATTGCACAATCCTAGGCATGGAACAAGATGCTCCCTAGCACATAACAGGAATGGGGGACCGGATCGCAAGCATCATCCACTACTAGGCACCAGGGAGTATATTTGGTGCCGTAGTGCTCGCATCCTGATTTCCAATCCCACTACACTTTGTCAGAAGACGTCCCATATGAGCTTTAGTCTAAACTCCTAGTATCCCCCTTCAGAACCCCTACAATACTCCCCTATATAACCCTCTTTAAGGAGTTTAGACTATAGGCGCATATGGAGCCAACAAGCTCTGCTCCTCGATCTTGGTGACCGACCCGCTCAGCACCCTCGTCACGCATAGCTCATCGAGCAGTTCTGGTGTGACCTTCCAAGTTTGAAACCAGAACCAAGGATTGTGAACGATATGGATTCCATGCTGTTTGGCGACCCATTCGGAGCTGAAATGATGGGGCATGATGGGCTATCTGAATCTTGATTGAAAGCACAGCTGCCATTATGTACGCGGAGAACATGCAGTAAATGGCCTGCCATCTCCTACATTTCGTACCAACTCGGCCTCCCAGGGCGCTTGCTCCAGAATAGTTGCGGCCTCAAACACAATTTGGTGGGCAGAGGCAGGTGTAGGAACAAGTTGGGACAAGTACATCCCAGCAGCTATACAGGAGTTCTAGGGACCATATAAGGATTATACAGGGGTTAGGCAGGGTTGTTGGGACTACATGAGGATTACAGCAGTTATGCAGGGGTTATAGGGACTATATGGGGATTGTACAAGTGTTATACAGGGGTGATATGAGCTATAGTCTATTCTCTTAGTATCCCCCTCAATAACCCGTAGAGCCCTCCCCTCTATAATCCCCTGTATAGCCCCCTTTAAGGAGTTTAGACTATGGCTCATACAATCCTAATATAACCTTATATATAGCAGTTTCCATGTCATTTTCTATGTTCTTTTCCAACTGATTCTCCATTATTAGAGTATATCTATATATGTAATATATACCCCCTTCAAGGTGTTTAGACTATGGCTCATGTAGGGGTCATACAGTGAAGAGGCTCTGGCCCAGGGCTTCCTTCTGAGACGTCCAAGTCTCGCGGCATAGCACTCCGGAGGCCTTGTTGCAGTTGCAGATGCGGTTCAGGGTTTTTTTTTATCGGTTCAGGGTTTAGGTTTTAGGG